GCCGGTCGTCATGACACCACCATCGTCAGCTCAAGGATCGGTCCGCATGCCCCGCCGCTTATCTTACCGGTTGCGCCCGTAGGTTCTTTTATATCATCCATATATCTCTCTCTCATGTAGTCATGTAGTCTATTGTAAAGTTAGTCATAAAAGCCTTTAATATGTAGTGTTCTGTTATGTAGCAATAAGTACACATCTTTATTAGCATATCTTAGTAGTATCAGTCATCAGCTATCGGGTCGGGGAAAGGGCCAGAAAGGTCCGCCGCAGGCATCAGTCGTCAGAGCATTCTAGTGCGACGTGTCCCCGTAGATAGGGTGTTGGGCCCTTATAATACCCATCTCTGCGTGTCCTCGGTGCTCTCCGCCGATGCATTCCCAATCCATTCCACCCAGGGGCACCAGGGCGCGACAGTGTGCACCCTTTGGTTGTGAATTGGATAGAGATAGATATTATTGATATTAGAGATATTTTCTCGATAATAGGACGTTCCAAGTCCTCGTTGGTGATTCTCTTTCGAGTGTAAAAGTTGCTACTAGTGGTGTACCTCAGGGTGGAGTTCTCTCACCTGTTCTGTTCAATATCTATACTGCTGATCTCCCTCAATGCATACAAGATCTTGATGTTTATTGCAGTATGTATGCAGATGATATAAAAATCTCTAGGGTAGTTAATGATTTCGTTTCCGACGCGGTTGTTCAGCAGGCAATAGATAGAATTGTTGGCTGGGCCACTGCTAATGGGCTCTGCTTGTCGACCGACAAAACTCAGGTTATGCGTATTGGTTCCCATTCCGTTAGCCCTGTTTACATGGTGGATAATCAGACCCTAAGAGCAGTTTCAGAAGTCCGCGATCTCGGATATTACTACGATTATCGGTTAAATTTTAACAAACATTACAAAATGATGGTTTTGAAAGGTAATCGACGTACTTTCAATTTGTTCAAAGCTCTTCGGTCTAGAGACCAGGTCTTCTTCTGCGCGCATATAAACTCTATGTGCGCCCCATTTTAGAATACGGGTCGTCTGTGTTCAATCCCTACACTAGGAAAGACAGTAAGGCTCTCGAGAGCGTACAAAATAACTTCACGCGTAAATTGTTGCTTAGATGCTCGGGCGTTTCATATGTTGACATCCCCACTGGTGGAACTAGGAACGCGAACCTTGGCCTTAAAACACTTGAGTGGAGGAGAAAGCGATATGACTTGCTTATGGCTTACAAAATCCTAAAAAATTTGTAAGAGTTGATGTCTCTGACTTTTTCCTGGTGCTGCCGTCTAACACTAGAGGAGCCTCTATAAGATTATCGACATCTACAGCTAGGACTCAATGCAGGTCAAAGTTTTTCAGTCACAGAGTACGAACATGTTTTAACTCCCTTTTACGTTCTAATATGTTCCCACTGAAGTATTCAACCTTCAAAAAGCACGTTGGCGAGAGTTCATATGACCTCACTGTTTGGTTGATTTTCTTTGTTTTGAGGATTATTACTTGTTGCTCACATTGTTCACAACATGTAAATAAAAAAATTAAAGATAATTGCGCATTCTTGGTGATATCACGATAGTATGTTGGAAGCAGTTATCACCAGTCGATAAATGTGGCAGTTTCATTTCCGGGTGACAATCAGAGTCGAGTACCAGAGTATCCACGGCGACGAACATAGTGGCTCGGACGCAGCAAGCGATCGCACTGCGTTGAATGTTAACATAGGCACTAATCGTGTAATACTCAAGCGCAAGTCCGACGATCGATACGATCCAATGTGTGTGACACTTACGATCGCTACATCGTTACGATGCGAAACGGTCACACGTGCTAACCCAGAAACACGTTTAGATGGCTGATCGTATTCGAAATCCCACTGTAGTGGCAATAGTATGCCGGGTAGTGATTCTGCGACAGCTTGCGTCGTTTGCTGTCGTCGACCAACTATGCGTCCGCAGGACCCAACCGAATGTTTTCGTGCTTGCGAAACGTTCGTTCTATGCTAGCCCTACACACCCGCAAATGTAGGATCCGAATTGGATCCGCGCCCTCGCAATGCACAGACTTTTAAACGGAGTGATAAACAAAACCCACAGTTTCTTGTTGAAGCAGCGAATTAGCCAGACCGCACAAGCAGACAGCCGTGTTTTGAGAACCGTGATTGTGTTTGATTTGTGCGATTGCACGAATGACGATCAGCGTTATTTTTTGGACGTTTCGAAGATCGGAGGATATACACGAGATGCTCGCCTCTTTGAAACAAATTTCCCGCGCGCGCACGTTCAAATATACGTAGCACTGGAGCGAGCATTCAACTAGCTAGAGTGATTGGAGACACTGCGATTTCGTGCCTTTTCCCATATTTTGAGTTTGCTCTCCGCACTGGTACCACCGCAGGCAAGTGTAGAGATATTCTAGCAGGAGAGCAGGAATGATAACTAGGGGATGCGGTCGTTCGCACGAGAGTACTGGTAGGAAGCGTCTTTGGATAGCAAGGTAATGAATTGGAAGCATGGGAGTTTAGGCACCACCACAAATGTACCTCTTCTTGATCCCACAAGAATCGATCATCGTTTTTCCTATCTCTTGTAGCATTGAATTGGTATTTTGCAAGACATTTTTTTAGGAAAATGATAAAATGACAGTATGTTGACGCTAATCTTCGTTAAGTCGGTCACTGAGGCAACTCAGAGGATTATCGGATTTTTTCATGATAGTCTTGGATTGTGTGTTTCATCCAGTAAGTCGTGAGAGCAAAGCTCATCACTCTTTCAAATATCTACAGCGGTGTTTTCAAAAACTGTTCACCAGTCAGTGACCTCAGCAAAAGTAATAATACATACCTAAAACGAAAAAGCGAGGAATCATAGGAACAGTTGTGATGAACTTCCCAACATAATTTTTTGACGTAAACTGCATTACGGGAAATAAGTGGACGCTATGGACTGCCAGAGCTACTTGAGTACTTAATTATTAGTCTACAGGTGAAAATCAGAAGGTTGCCTTTAAATTTTCACCGAACGAAGAATTGCCGATATTCATGGGTTTCAGCAATGTGCTCTCAGGAGACGGCAATATGTTGAGTGCGCAAATCGTTTTGAATACAGTGACTTATTAGTAGGAGCTCAGAATCACAGCCCCCTTAGCAGAGCAATATCAAAAGCTGGGCGTAGCAATATAAGAGGCATGCTAGTATCCTCAGTGGGGCTTGGTGGGCGAGAACGGCAGCTTGCGACACACTGCATTAGGGTTATGGAAACGCTCAGTTTGAGTTTGGACTGAGCCTCAAAGGAGAAGAGTGGCTCCGAAGTGCTTGAGCAACCTTCCTCTCCAAAATCGTCTCCCTCCGTAGCTCAGTTCCAGAAAACCTTCTACAGACTGCACTCTCCCCCGTCCTCCCCCGTTTTGTAGTTACAGTAAAGAGCATTACCTAACGAAGAAGACACCTGACTTTACAAATACCTTTTGAGAAATTTCTTCAGGTAACACATCTACCTCAGATCAGCATGTCCTTTCAGGAGTCACTAGTGACTTAACACGGTATAGCTGGGAGAAAAGCTCGCTCCAGGCCGACATCGTTTAAAACGATGCGAAGCGCGGGGATTTTTTCAAGAGCGAAGATTCAGCGTAATTTTTTGACGTTTTCGAATGGTGAAAGGAAAGTAGTTATAGAGTAGTTCTGATGTAAATGGTAAGGAGGTGGTCCGGATTTTCCACACAAAATGGCTTCACCTGCCACTGTATTGACCGGAGAACGCTTGCGAGCCTACTCGGTTGCGGCAGACAAAGTGAGTAGTTTTTTTTTGTCTGTGTTGGGATTCGTTTTCATTCATGAACCTGAGACTTACAAGATAAACAGTTTTTGAACTTCCCACGGTTTGCAGTGGTAGGCCAGTCTTTTCAAAATCAAGCATTCTGGTTTTTTGCATTTGGTGCGCTATAACTCCTCACGCTAAAAAAGTTGCTGAGAATTTCGCACTTATCGTAGAAGAAATGAATCCGGTGTTATCTTTCACCGGGTTCAAATTCCCTAACATTTTCGGAATTGTTCTTCGTGCACTTTGGTGGGGCTGCCAAAGTACATTGAAGTAGAGGAATCTCAGGAGACTGTTTTCTGTAGTGCCACATAATTTTTTAACCTAATGAAGCGTTGACAGGAATGCCATAGGTCGCCTCACCATGTCCCATGCTCAGCACCTTCATAGAAGCGGATCATTTTAGGCATTGGCTCAAGTGAAAAGCATCTTGGAGACAAGGCAAAAAGAACTGGAGGAGTACGATAGCCTTATTAATCGACTTGAAGAGATGCCCAAAAAGCGATCTGAAGCTGTTATGGTACGGTCCGATCATTTATATCATATCTGTTTCGTTCTTTACGCTGATAATCTTCAAATCTACATAGGAGCTCGGGAGGGGTCGGAGCGAGAGCGAATCTTATGAGTAGGGTATCTACTGAAATACTCTAACAGTTCTAGTTTTAGTGTCCTATTGGTTCAGTTGGCTTCCTTCCTGCGACCATTGTTCACACCAACGAAATACTGGTAGGCTTAGGAGATGGATACTTTGTGGATGCTTCAGCATATCAGGCTGCCGAAATTTTAAAGAGACGAAGAACTGGTGAGACGTTGATCCTTTTTGACCAGTTCATAAAAATGCTAAAGTGTTGGGTACTACAGCCATGCGATCAGGAATCGCCGCTTGTAACTTCATTCGAGCTTCATAAACAATATAGGGTGGCCTTATCACAATGCAGATTTTTTTCAGTTCTGGAAAAAAATATCGACGATCTTCATCAACATGAGAACATAATCTCGCAACAGATTGCTTTTGCCAAAGAACTTTTCGAACATGTAGGTCTTATCTCGATATGGTAATCGGCTTCCTTAGTTTAGCTTTTCAGCAAAATACTGATGAAGTGGAGATACGCGAAGAATACGACGAAGAAAGGGAAGAAGAGTTAAGAAGTGAGCATCCCTTTCCTACTTTCCTGTTCTTTCCAGGATGACTTTTTTTTAGAGAAACGCAGGTCTAGAACATCAGCAAAGCGTCACCAAACCAAGACAGTAGCTGATATCAAGGCAGAGGTAACTTATTTTGTCCTTAGGACAAGCACATTCAGGTAGAAGTCTATATCTTTTTGACTCTAAGGTTATTCGATCTATGATCCAGCCTTTCTGATTGACCCTCGTGTCATTCTTTTTTCTGTCACTATAGGGCGCATTCGGTCGTTCAATCGTTGTGATCGAACGACCGACTATGCATGCGCCCATAGCACTTAGCGGGAGAACCGCGCTGAATAATAATTTCTCATCATTTTAAAGTTGTATTCAAAAACCTCTTGCGCCCTTTAAAAGGCATGATAATCATAAACAAATGGCAGATATAAAGGCTTGCCAAAATACAGCTTTTTGGGCATTAGATGTTCTCTCCATAGAGTACTTTTCCTTCGAACTCTGTCGGAGTATTTTTTTTTTCAAATCAGGCTGAGATGATGAAACGACTAGAAGAGCTGGAACAGCAAGAGCTGCAGAATGGTGAATTAGATCACGATACAGATGACTTCTGTGGAAACGATTCGCTTGATATCCCAGTAGGTTAATGATTCTTATAGTTTTCATCTTTCATAGTTAAATCAAGTACGATGTAGCATATTTTCGAGGGGTCAATAATAACAAGTTGGCATTATCATAGGCTGTTTTGAACCTGCGCATTCTCTGTCGCGGAGCATTGGTTCACAGTTGAATCACTTTGAAATGTTTTGGAATATGAAACTGAAGCAAAGCAGTAACGAAATTCGTTAATTCGTGTGAAGGAACCATATAGAAATTGGTAGAATAGTTGCAATGGTTAATGAACAGTTTGGAGCAGTGAAGGCGAAAAAAGATAAAGTGGTGCAGACTGTCGAGCCGCGATCGCGAAGGAATGGGTAAAAAGTTCAGATGCAACTACGTTGCCTAGGCGGCCCATGCAATTTTAGTAATTGCTTCGTCTCACGTGAATGTGCAAGAGAATTCCAGCAACAGTAAAAGCGTAAAAGTCATAATATAAGGGCATATCCTCACAAGATCCTTTGAAAATTATTTTCCAGCAAAGCACTACTGACGAAAATGAAGGCGCAACCCGATCTGTCCCGAGTTTAGATCATAGTCAGTCTGATCAGTCTTCGCTTCCTTTGAAACCCTCTACTCTCGCATCATCAAGCAAATACACTGAATCCTCTTCAGCCACATGCTCAAAGGAACTCGGCAGTGAAGACGCAACATTTAGCAGGAAGGTAAGATTCAATGTTTGTTCGGGGTGTGGAATGACCTTTTTGCCAACAACTTGTTCTTCAGGAAAAACCAGACCCTCAAGTCATTGACAAAACAGTGGAGGAAGATGGATTGTCAGTGGGTGTCTTCAGTGGCGTGAGTGTATCAGTTCATGTTCTGCTCTTTCAACATCTTTTTTATTTTTTTCGGGATAGGTTTTACTTTGTTTTTTAATTGGGACTAGTAATTCTTCAGCAGTTAAGAGGAGTTTTGCTTCCAAAAGTGAAGGGCCAAGTTGAGTAGTGGGGGAAATCGGCATTGGTAGATTTCACCTGTTGGGGGTAGGCCGAATGCGCCATACATTCTCATTAAATGAACTTCAGTATATTTGTGTACACTGTGATAGTGGTGATGGATCATCACCACATAAACATGATGCTTAT